TTTTAATTAATTAAATGAACAAATAATAAGTATATATACATTTAAATGTATGTGTGTATATATATATATATATATATATATATATATATATATATATATAATTTAATACATGTCAGATATGTCTTAAAATTTTGCAGTGCTTACTCAGGCAACACTGATCCTCCAAAGCCAAAGTGTCGATGTCCTTTAATGACTGCAGGGATATATTCGTTCTGGGAACTTGAAGTCGTCTTTCCATAAGCCTGCTGGCTTAGCTCTTCATGATTGCTTCTTGGGTAGACCCTGTTGTCCCTTGTGTAAAATTGACAATCAATAAGAGTTTAGGTCACATCACATAATTTCTTTATGCTTCATGCACTTAAACATGACAACAAAAGGAAAGGAATATAGGACTAAATTTTAAATGCAGTCAACTATAATATTCTCACCTTGGAATATAGAGTCCAGTGATGCTTAACGGTTGCCTCAAGATTGGTGGGAGTCGGAGTGGAGAAGGACAGTTTTCTTCTTTCATGCTTACCTGTGCTCTAGTTGAAGCTGAAGGGGTTGAGTGTTCAGTTCTGGTCTATCAAAGGAGTGCGAGTGCTGGGCAGGTGGACACCACCATGCAAATCGCGTCTGCTACCATAGGCTTGGATCCCTACACTTTTCATAGTATTGAATCTACAAACAGCCACATGAAACCACAGAGTGACACCTTATCCAAGTCCGAACACCATCACTATGGAAGCTCAGCTGCTGCCTTTGTTGTGTTTAAGGGATTTGGTGATGCGAGATGCTCATTAGACCCGCCTCGCTGACAGAGCGCACTGAATCCTACTGCTAAGCCCTTAAACTCACTTATAAATTCCAGATATAATGCAAAAGTCATCTTTGAACAAATTAGGCTGATGTCAGTTCCCGTCGGTAGGCTTTAACTGTTACACTCAAAGCTAATTATGTAAATTCAAAAGTAAATGTATTCCTAATGAATAATGCAAGAAATCAGTAGCCCCCAGAGAGCAATCAAACCTCCAATTGTAAAGTCTGCTGCGGCTGGGCCTCTGAGTGCAGAATGTTCAGTGCTCGAATTCAATAGATAGGCTGAAACCAGAGCTGGCTATCAGAGAAACACAGATCTAGGCTACTGCAGTGAGTGTAAAACCATCTCTGGTTTCAGCAGTTAACTCTGGATACATGCAATGGAAAAGTCGAGTAGTTTACACATATAGGAATGTTTAGAGGGGTAGTGAAATAAAAAAAAAAGTGAAATATTTCATCATTTACTCACTCTTATGTCATTCCAAACCGAAAGTCTTCCATTCTCATTGTTTTTGTTCATACACGTCCTCGCAACAAAAATGTTCAAGCTTCAAAAAGTTCATAAAGACATAAATAAGTAACACAAATGAAACCAGCTGTCCAATTCAAATCTTCTGAATCGATAGTGATTTGTATGATTTTATTTTCACAAATATTGATGATGAATATTGAAAATGTAAATGAGTTTGTTTCTTCATTAGAACAGATTTGGAGAAATGAAGCATTACATCACTTGCTCATCCTCTAAGTGAATGGGTGCCGTCAGAATGAGCGTCCAAACAGCTGATAAAAACATCACAATAATTCACAAAATAATCCAAATGACTTCAGTCCATCACTTAATTTCTTGTCAAGTGAAAAGCTGTATGTTCATAAAAAACAAATCCATCACAATGCATTTTAACATTACAATTTTGCTTCTGGTCAAAAATCACATTCATGCTTCCTCCAGCGAAAAAGTCCATCTTCTGTTGTCCTCTCACATCATCATATTTTTTTAGAACTTTTTTGGAATATTTTTGCTTCTAAAATGAGTTTGACCTTTTCATATTTCTCTCCTGTTTCAGACAAGACGACTTTTTCACTGGAGAAAGCAATATTATGGATAGATGACTCATAGTTTAGCAGGAAGCAAATGTTGTAATTATGGACTTGTTTATTTAAATGCAACTTTTTGCCTCACAAGATATTGTGGATTATTGTATGTGTGTACTGTATTGTATTGTATGTGGATGTTTTTTTTTTTTTTAATCAGATATCCAGACTCTCATTCTGACGGCACCCATTCACTGCAAAGGATCCATTGATGAGCAAGTGATGCAATGCTGCATTTCTCCAAATCTGCTCTGATGAAGAAAACACTCACTTAGATCTTGAATAGCTCATGGGTGAGTACAATTTCAGCAACTTTTTCTATTTTGGGGTGAACTACTGCTTTAAGATTCCAGCAATAACATTAAAAAAAATTATGTCATTATTTTTAAGCATATTCAAACATAATGTTTATTTACAGAGAATTAATAAACTGAAGGAATGGATGCAGCTCTGCTTACTATAGTTATTTTACATTTGCCTGTACTCAAGACACTAAATATTCTGCTAGTATATAAAAAACATTGCCTTGCTCTCTCCTTAATTTTCCATCCATTGTAAAATCAGCAGAAATAAGAGTGAATCTTATACTTACTCCTGAAAAACAGTCAGCTCAATTCATTTTTGTGTTTCAGGTGATTAAAAAAAATGCAGACCTGTGCACAATAGCCACATATTGCATTTTGCCATCATAATGAAAAGTAGAAGCTCCATTGTTTATTCAGTTAGCTTTAATGCTAGAAACGTCTTTTTAATGGCTTGTGTGCTTGTTTGATATTTCCTTTAGGTTTCTAAATTTAATCCCACCTAGTGAATAACTCATCATCATTGTTCTCTATTTAAAACCGCAGGAGAGCTGTCCATGGTTCTGAAACTCTTCGCTTCCACAGTTCAGTCTTATATGAACATCATCAGATTACATCCCTTATCATACATTACATTAACATACATTTAATCTACCCTGTTGTTTTCGAAAATGTACACACCTCATGAAAAATTCCCACTCACTGTCTTTGCATGAATATTTGCCATGTGGTGTTCAATCAAAACGTGAACACACAGCTCAATAGACCAGACCCTGTCCAGATGCACCGCCAACTGCTTGCCAAGCACTTACACTGACCGGCCTTATTTATAAGGCTATGCTGAACAATATATTCAGTATTACACCTTTAATTGGGATCCTCCAGGGACCTTGTCAAAGTTTTCGAGAAAAGCGGGGATTTAGCACACACGCCAAACTTAAGTTCAGTGACCAATTACCGCCCTTCTCTTCAGAGGGGTTGCTGTATTACATCTCCTACTGTTGTATCCCTTGGTTGCTTGTTAATACTCAACTATGGAGAACAGGTCTCATTAGTCTGTGTCAGAATATACTGCTGCAGGCCTTTAGAAGCTGCTTTAAACATCAAGGCTGCAGCAGTGCCTTATCTTACTAATGAACATCAGCTGGTATAGCTTAAATACATACCAGCAACCATTTAAATGCGCTTAAGTGATTAACCTATCAAGCTCTGAGGAACACCATGGGGGTTCTTTGATGGAGTGTAAGCAAACACCTCCTGGCTAATGTGTTGCATTTGTACGCTACAATCCCAGAATCTGATTAAATTGTTTATTGAAGACCTGTATTGCACAGGATAAAATATTAAAATGTTAATTAAATCATATAACTCTCTCTGGGCAGATCCCAGAAATTGCTAGAGTTAAAGCTGAGGAGATAATTATCGCAAAGCAGAACCAGTTCACAGTTGCATTCTTTGTCAGAAAAAAATGTGGTTTTAACAGCATAGAAGCAACAATGTCAGAAAGAGTTCAGTTGGAATAAAAGCAGCTAAACAAGCACACAATGCCTTATTCAGGAGAAGTGAAGGTCTATGTGCGTCAGTGAGTGAGTGAAATGACTAGTATAGGAGAAGACGTGCAATGGTGAACTGTTAACCAAAACAGATGGGAAATAACATAAACTTCATATACTCATTTACATATGCAAAGATTTCTTTGTCTTCCTGTATTGTATTATTTAAGCTGCACACTCATTTCCTGTAATTTTACAATTACTATCCCACTTTTGCAAAAAAAAAAAAAAAAAAAAGAGCTTTTATCAGTGCTTAATTGCAAATGTACAAAAAAACTTCTCCACTTTGCATAGTTCACCCTATTTATTTAGTGTTAAGTTATTTGAATGGTCCATATACTGTTCTGAAAGGTATTATTTTATGGCAAATATTGTTTTGTGATGTTTGCATTTATTTTTTGTAATGATTTTTCAGTGTTCCTGTAGTTCAAACAGTAGAGCAATATCAAGCTCCTGGGTATGATTTCCAGTGAATCCATGAACTCAAGTCGCTTTGGCATCTGGCAAATGGTATTAATATTTACTGCTCTTATTGACTTGATGATTTGAAGAAGTGTGAGGATGTCTTGTGTATGTGTACAGCACCATAGAGTCCAAGACAAATTTCCCATCAGCAACAATAAAACAATACAAATTTCAATTCACACGGGTTTTGTAATATTACATTCATAATGACTGTGCAAACAGAAATAATGGGCTATTCATCCAGTTGGAACATACATAATATGGATAGATTTTTAATGACAAATGAAAGCAGCCATTATTTTCAGACTGGGGCTACTTCAAAAATGTTTAATTAAGGAATGTATTACAACACATTTTCTCTCTCTCTCTCTCTCTCTCTATTTGTCTGTTACTACACACCATATAAAAAGTACTTCACGAAACAAAAACAGATTCATTAAACTTCCACTAGACACACAAAAAGAAACATCCATTTCCAGTCACAGACACAATGAACAGACAACTATTCGTTTGCTTTCATGTTTATTTAGGTCCCTCCCAGAGGAAATCTGCATCTTACCTGCCAACTGCTTGAACAAAATTGCTTATTATACTTCAACGTCATCGCGCATCAGTCATATTTAATTATTTATTTCACTGTTCATCTCCACGAGCCTCATAAAAGACTGCGAGGAGGAAGGCTGGAGAACAGTGATATGTGAATGGCAGATGGACGTGTGAAGTGTGTGCAGCAGTAGCTACACTGTAGACGACTCCACAACAATTTGGCTGTGGCTGTGCCGACATGACAACTTTTGATTTTTCCGACGTGGAGGCATTTTTGGATTGCCATCCGGAGCTTTTCGAGGAATATCTCGTCAGGAAGGGAAAATGTGACACCCTGAGCAGGTGGCTCAAAGAGCATCAGCCGTCCAAAACCTCTCCTGCGGAGGAGAAACGCGGGGTCGTAAGGGATCCCTTCTGGCCCACGAACCCCGACGGACTGAGGCGCAGATCGTCCCACATGGAGCTCCGCAGGAACTTCGCCCGTTCCAAAGCGATGACTGCGCACCGGACCTACGACGAGCAAGTCAGTCTCACGGCTCACGAGTCCCAGTCGAGTATGCGACGGCGCGCGCTGCTGCGGAAAGCCAGTTCGTTACCGCCGACTACGGCGCACATCTTGAGCGCGCTGCTCGAGTCCCGGGTGAACGTGCCTCAGTATGCCTCCAGCGCCATTGACTACAAATACAGACTCAAAGAGTCCAACGAGAGGGAGTTCTTCCTCGAGCTGGTTAAGGACATTTCTAACGAACTTGACATGACGAACCTCAGCTACAAGATTCTTATCAATGTGTGCATCATGGTGAACGCAGACAGGTGTTCGCTTTTCCTAGTGGAAGGACCGTCTCATAAGAGGACGCTGGTGTCCAAGTTTTTTGATGTGCACTCGGGTACGACGGTGCGACCCTCTTCTAGCACTCTGTACTCAAACGAGGTGCAGGTTCCGTGGGGAAAAGGCATCATAGGTTATGTAGCAGAACACGGAGAAACCGTCAACATCCCAAACGCATACGAGGTAGAACTGCAACTAATAATACTGACAATTACGCAGTCATTGGTTGCGAATTATTATAAGGGGTTTGATGGTTTAACCCAAAGGACGTCGAAGCAAAAGGTTGAGAGTTTTTTTTAAAGCATGTCCTTTTCAACAGGGGTTTTAAACTTTATGGAATTATACAAGTTAGATTACAAGTTAGTGGTGCGTGCCAAAGAGACACTAAATAACTTCGCTTTCGCCAGAGGTAACCATAACAGCTGTTGTGCGGTCAGCTTCGATCGGTACGCAAAAAAACTGGACTAAAACTGTCATTTTGTACGACTATTATGAATTTACATCACAGATCACAAAAACCTAAGTGTATTTTATTTTTCATTTGCACAACTGACGTTTGGCTAACTCTAGTTATAATTCACGTCGAGCAAGACAAAAACTGACAGCTTGCGCCAGGGACTTATATGCAGTGTACAATACATAAAAAATTAAGTTATTGAGGAGCCCGGGGCTAGTTGTCACAATTTTTACGCCAGTGAATATTTCTCAGGTATAGGTTCATTTTAGAATAATGAAATAATGTAGGCGTATACAGTAGGTCTTGGCTACAAAACAAAAACAATAACAACTATTGAGATAAGAAACAATTCAATCAACGTTGACCTGCCAGTAGGGGAGCATGTTGTCACACTATATTGGTGTAAGTTGTCACAGTGGAATCTGCCATTAAACAGTCTATTATAGACTTTTAGCTACATTTAAAGAGTAAAATAATTATGAAACAAAACTATTCATGAAACAGCAACATTTTAAGAGTTGACGCAAAAATCTAAAATCACTGTTTTGGCCAACACATAACATTTAAAAGACACATAAAAGCTTGCCCCAAGATCAGTATTTCAAATCAAATCTACCTTCATTATATTCAGTAGTTTAGCTTGCTCTCTTGTTTACCCAACAGCTATGGCAAAAATATGAACCTTGAGTATGGAGGATAAAATAGATGTGCCTTTAAAGATTTGTGATTTCTACAGTTTCTGCAGCCACGGCTTTGAGTCGCTGTCTGATTATTTTGATTGTCAAAAGTTTCAAGAATTTAGCATTCCCCATGTGAAGATATCTCGATTACAGTGTTGGCTATTTCCCCATCTTCAAATACACACTACCAGTCGTGCGTACACATCATTATATCATGGCCACAGGCAAGCCTTCCCTAGTACACTGTGGTCAGAAGAGATCCATTGATGCAGTGCAATGAATTTGCCACTATCCTATCACTCAGTTGGAATTTTATGCTTTTGGTGGCAATGAATGCAGTTTGTCCCCAAATCCCAAAAACAGTGATGTAATATGCTACAAGATTAATCTGAAATTCAACAACTACAAATACATTTTCTTGTAGTTTTTCCCATTCCCCATTGTAAAGTTACAATTACAATTTTTAAGGTGTCCTTGATACAGTGTAATTACGTACTGAGTAATATTAAATAACAGCGTGTACTTAATATAGGTTTGAAATTAGATTTGGTTTAGGGTTAGCGGCATGTATTTAGGCAAAATTTACTGTGATTACAGGTAACGTGTAACAAGGGCACTGAAAAATAAAGTGTTACCACGCTTTTTTCCCCCCAAGTCATCCTGAGTTAGATTTGAATGAGGTAAAGTACATAAGTGGATTTGGGATTGATGCGCAAAAAAAAGAAAAATTTAAAATTTTTCAAAAGTAGTCTTTATAATAACATAAATCAAAAATAAATCAAAACATCCCAATTATCAACAGATTTTTTTTTACAATTATTATCTACTGTAAGTTACAATTACAATTTTTAAGGTGTCCTTGATACAGTGTAATTACGTACTGAGTAATATTAAATAACAGCGTGTACTTAATATAGGTTTGAAATTAGATTTGGTTTAGGGTTAGCGGCATGTATTTAGGCAAAATTTACTGTGATTACAGGTAACGTGTAACAAGGGCACTGAAAAATAAAGTGTTACCACGCTTTTTTCCCCCCCAAGTCATCCTGAGTTAGATTTGAATGAGGTAAAGTACATAAGTGGATTTGGGATTGATGCGCAAAAAAAAGAAAAATGTTAAATTTTTCAAAAGTAGTCTTTTTATAATAACATAAATCAAAAATAAATCAAAACATCCCAATTATCAACAGATTTTCTTTTACAATTATTATCTACTGTGTCTGCTGCAACTGCTACGGCAAGCACTAGTCATATATTTGAATGTTGAGCAGCGAGCTAATTGGCTACCGATACAGGAGAGAACCAATCAGCTGTGCCATGTGATAATGATGTCATTAGGTCAGATTGAGTTAGACCTATCGGACAGCGCCATCTAGAGATTCATGCCAGAACTCTGTATTTTTGTTGGTGAAACCTACTTTGTTTAGGTTGATTCAGTAATGTTAAATAATATTTTTTATTTAAATAAAATCAATTAATTTAGATGTTTCCACATGAAGCACATTTTTTTTTAGGTTACTATTTTTTTCCGGTGCAATGTGATGCGGTGTCCTTCATCCCATTAGCTGTTCTTACCCTGAAAAAAAATGGTAACCTAAAAACAGAAATATCTAAATTAACTGATTTTAAGTCTGGAATATTATTTAATTTTGTTGAATCAACCTAAATACAGTAATTTGTACTAACAAAGCTACATTTTATGAGTGAAATCAGGTAGAAATAGCCCTTTAAGGTAACAATTGGAGGTCATCACATGACCATAAATTATAAAATTCCTTGAAGTTAACTTATTATACCATTCGTGAAAAGGTCCTTAATGAAGGGAATTTAGTTATTCACTTTCTTTTGGAATACCCCTAAAAATTACGTCCCATGCCTGTCAAGGGTGCAATACCACCATTTGGAATTCGCCTGCTCTAAATTGTTCTCAGAACAGAGGTCATCTTTGTCATTGGCTAAATCAGCACATGTGAATGTCATACCTCAGAATCTTACATTTCAGTGTAGCAGATCCAGTACTGCAGTCTCTGGGCACAAGTCAGTCTGTACCCGCACATCTCAGCCCTTCACTTTCATTGCTGCTTCAAAACAGCTCTCTATAGATAGTAATTAATAGCACAGCATTTCTCTTTAGAATTATTTATGCCAAGCAGCACTGAAAGCAGATACACAGGCTGTGCTGTTATAAATGCCCTAGAAATAAACTGATGAACTGATGTGATGCCTCCAGTCCTTCTGCTGTTTTTCCCCCCCCTCTCAATATCTCACCGTCATGCATCAATCAAACTAAAGCTTTGAAAGCATCACACTTCTCTCTACAGGTGCTTCAAATGTATCTACCATTCTGTGGAATATCGATCTCCAACGCCAAACTCTTCTCCGAATCCCGCAAGGAGTATGAGAGGAGCAGGGTGAGTCAAGACCTGCAGAAATGTTGCTGAATAAAACCCAGTTTTTCAGACTGATTTTTAAATCTGCCTCTAGACTTCTAGGCGTCTCAGACAGTGTGCTGCTTGATTTTGTAAGCTTGTTTACAATCCTCAGGTTTCAAGGTTTAAAATATTTAATAATCTGCTTGAAGGCCTGTGTTATCTGAATACATTTCGAGCTGTTGCTGATGTTCCTCAAGGCCCTGCTGGAGGTGGTGAATGATCTGTTTGAGGAGCAGACGGACCTGGAGAAGATTGTCAGAAAGATCATGCAGCGTGCGCTGACATTGCTGCAGTGTGAGCGCTGCTCTGTGCTTCTGCTAGAAGACATCCACTCTCCTGTGAGATCGCCTTTTTTGGTCCATCCTTATTTTGTGTGTTTTCTTATCTTTCTCCATCCTTTCCACCTTCCACCATTCTTAAAGGGACAGTTCATCCAAAAATGAAAATTCTGTCATTAATTACTCGTCATTCCAAACCCGTAAGACAAATTAAGATATTTTTGATGGAATCTGAGAGCTCTCTGACCCTCCATAGACAGCAAGGATATTACCAGAACGTAATCAACGTAATCACCGTTGTTTACGTTCAGCATGTGTGCGCTGTCTACTGAATGTAAACAACACTGATTACGTTGATTACGTTCTGGGGTACTCTCCAAAATGGCAGCAGACAGTAACTCGGGGAGAAGAATTGTTGAATAAGTTATATTATTATAGTTTTCTTTGCACACAAAAAGTTTTCTCGTAGCTTTGTAAAATTACGGTTGAACCCCTTATGTCACCAAGGACTATTTTACAGATGTCATTGCTACGTTTCTGTGCGTTGATCATGGTAATATCCTTGCTGTCTATGGAGGGTCAGAGAACTCTCAGATTCCATCAAAAATATCTTAATTTGTGTTCCGAAGATGAACGAAGGTAACCCTTTAACTAATTCAGCTGGGCATCCTCTCTTTGGCTTTTACATTAGTCTTTATTTAAACACGGTAATAGGTTTGCAGTGCCGATCCTAGACCGATCCTAGATGTGGGGGGGGTATGAGTGTATGAGTGGTTATGAACAAATGAATGAAACGCATTTGTCCGTGTTTCACTCCGTCTCGAATCGTGCTTGTGGAAAGCGCTTGAGAAACAGTGTCGCTTCCACGGCTCGGTACGCTTTCAACTCGTTTTTAGTCTCGAGCAAGACTGTAAGACATTTACATTACATGGTTTGACTGATTTTTACATAGAAAGTGTGACAGTGCACTGCATTAAAAGAAATGATCATTCATGTTTTCATAACCATTGACCGAATTCAAAAACAAACTAAAATGAAATCATCTTTGAGTGCAAGGGGTCCCCTTGGTGTTTCGGGGGCCCTACGCAGCTTGCGTATTTTGCGTATAGGGAGGATCGGCTCTGTTGGTTTGGTTAGCAAAGGTTTATAGGGATAGTTCACCCAAAAATAAAAATTCTGTCATTAAAGGGGTCATATGATGTTGCTAAAAAGAACATTAATTTGTGTATTTGGTGCAATGCAATGTGTTTATGCGGTTTAAGGTTCAAAAAACACATTATTTTCCACATAATGTACATTATTGTTTCTCCTCTATGCCCCGCATTTCTGAAACGTGTCGATTTTTACAAAGCTCATCGTTCTGAAAAGCGAGGTGTACTGTGATTGGCCAGCTATCCAGTGCATTGTGATTGGCCGAATACCTCAAGCGTGTGACGGAAATGTTACGCCCCTTACCATACTGTGTTGCACTACGAGACAAAACCAATAAAACCCATTACAAACGACGCATTCATGTAGCATCCAGTGGGGACATAATTACTGATTATAATGACTTATACTGTGTTTTTACGCTTTGCGTTGCATATTGTGCCGTGTAAACATAAAATCATGTCTGCATTTGTGAACGGAGAAATGACAAACAACAAGCCTACTCTACACTGCTTAAAACTCGCGTTTCAATCATCTGTGGCAAATTCTTTAAATATAAAAAACTTACTTACAGGCTGTGAGTCAGAAGCGCCAGACTGTCCTTGCAAAGTTGGAACTGCCCCACTTTATAGAAACATTATGTCCTCTTTTGGAAGGCCAAACAAAGTAGTTTCACTTTCACAACGAAACACACTGCGGGCTAGAGTGAGCAGCGGCTGGCGGATTCGAAGAAGGAGGCTTGCGGCAACCACATTTGACGACCCGGGCTGGACTCCGCTTCGTCCACGGTGAAAGCCAATCCGGCGATCCACAGCGCAAAGTTGATGTATTTCCTCAGCGACCAGCACGGATCAGCTCTAGGCATGACGAAGCGGATATCATCCTCTTTTGGAAGGCCAAACTAAGTAGTTTCGCTTTCACAACGAAACACAGAGCGACTTCACGACATGGCGGCGGCAGCAACAACAATACTACAGCAAGAATAAAAGTTACGCCTTCTTTCTTTGCATGAACATTTGGGCGGCATTATGCAAATCTTCACACACAGTGACGTAGACATGTGGGGGGGTGTTTAAATGAGGTGTTTTAGGAGGGTGTGGGTAACTCTTAACTTTTATAAAGAATAACTCTTTGGATTTGAGACTTTAGTCTTTGCAACTTTAAAGATCTTATTTATGCACCAAGAGCTTGTAACACTCCAAAGAGAAAGGAAAAATTCAAATTGCATCATATGACCCCTTTAATTACTCACCCTCATGTCGTTCCAAACCTGTTTACAAGGAGAAATGCACACGCATGCATCATGATACTCTCGTGAAGGCGCGTTGAAGACTGACCCAGAAGAAAAGAAATGGTTGAATAAAGTCGTTATTTTTGTTTTCTTTGCGCAAAAAAGTATTCTCGTAGCTTTATAACATTGCGGTTGAACCACTTATGTTACATGGACTATTTTAACGATGTCCTTACTACCTTTCTTGGCCTTGAATGTGGTAGTTGCATTGCTGTCTATGCAGGGTCAGGTTGGATTACATCAAAAATATTTTAATTTGTGTTCCAAAAATAAATGAAGGTCTTACAGGTTTGAAACGAAATGAGGATGAGTAATTAATGACAGAATCTGCATTTTTGGGCGAAATATCCCTTTAAGATATTTTGATGATTTCATGTATGACGTTAAATACATCCGTATTACCACTTTGTGGTTTTTTAAAGCTTTTTAAAAAGTTGGTTTCTAACAAGTAGCTAAATGGGAATAAAGAGGTTGTTGAGGACATTAAGCGTCATTACGCTGAACAGGAAGACACATCTACGCATCTAAGTCCACTTTTACAGCCTCGTTGTATTTATAATCACTCTCCTGCAAACTATTCTATCTCAAACGTTTAATTTTTTTTTTTTTAATGAAGACTGAAAGAGTTGTTAGAAGCTTAGTGATTGTCAATTT